GCTCCTTTATAGTTATAGATCTACTTATTCTATTATGTTTCTTGTTTTCTATGGTGTTAATCTTGTGCTCTTACATGAGATTCGTTGATTAAATATGGAGTTAATAATGTGTTTGTGTTGATATCATATGATGAGTTGTGTTTGCTTTAGGTGTTCTTTGCTAGTCGGATTCATAAGATTTGGCTTTGAAGTTTCTGATGTTGGTGAAGCATATAGTGATGCAGAGGAAGCGTTTGGTTCTTGAACTTAACTCAGCTCCTGGAACTAATCTCAGCTTCTGAAAAGAACTCAGAACCTTCTCTTGTACACGTGGATACAGTTCAATGGACAGAGGTTCCGACAGATATTGATGTCATGGATACGGTTCGATGGACAGAGGTTCCGACAGACATTGATGTCGTGGATACGGTTCGATGGACAGAGTTCTGGCGATGCATCCAATGTACATGGTTCCGTGGACATCAAACAATGTACTTCTTCCTTCTTCTTTTTTCTTTTATCGAGGATAATCTTGTTTAGATATCTATCACTTATGTATTTGTCAGGTAACCAATTCTTTTTTTCTAGCAAATTTCTCTTATATGTATATATGGAATTGGACTAAAGAGATATATATGCAATTGGAGAGAATTGTTATTATAAACATGGACAAATCTTTGTGGATAAGCTATATTTTGAACGTGAAGTGATTTTTGTAAACAAGTTTTGTGGTAAACATGGACGGGTAATTGTGGACAACTTATGTGGTAAACTTGAACAAATATGTTGCTTTGCTAATTTGGAGAAGAGCATAAGTCTTGATATACATACAAGGGCTTAACAAATCTACTACATGATGAAGCAACACAACCTACACAAATCTAGCATCGTTAACAAAATCAAAACCTAAATCAGAACATGAAGCTGACAAATTAATTATAATTCATACTCTTGCAAACAAAACTCCAAAATTGAACAAAAACTACAAATTAGATTTCAGTCCTATCTAAACTCTTTGCTAACTTTCAATTTTCAAACTAAGATCCAAATGACTGAAATTGTTAAACCTTTCACCACATCAACCCGTTGGCTAGACCCGAGATCATAGCCGTCCATGAGACCACGTTTTTTCACGCATTCGATTAAAGACTTGAGAAGCCATATCCATAGACCGATATCGAGAGTATATCAAAACAAATGTTGCCCAAGTTTAAAGCACCACCGAGTTCATTTTCGTCAATAAAATCATGAACTTGTTTACCAAAATCCAACGCGCCCAAGTTGGCGCAAGCTTGTAGAGCTAGCAAGCATGTTACATCGTCTGGTTTTCCACACCCATCGACCTTTTTCTTCATCTTATCAAACAAAACCAGACCTTCTCGTGTACGTTTGTTCCGCATAAAACACGAAATCAGCACGTTCCAAGAAACGGTATCTCTCACGGGAAATTCGTCGAACACTTTACAAGCGTAAGTGATGTTTCACATGTGGAGTAGAGATCCATGATAGTCGTCATCAGAAGACTGTCGAACAGAAATCCATCTTCTTCTATTATGCTGACTCAGTTTTGTTCTTTGATTTTGTCTCTTTTAGAGCCGCTACCGTCGATGATTTCTCCTTTGACTTGGTTTATTCTGTTGTTGGAACTGCTGATTTCACTTATTTCTTCTTTTTGTGGTTGATGTAAGCGATTCGAAGAAGAAGCTCCTCCACCTTCGTTGATGAAAGCCTCGCCGTCGTACTTAGATATATATCTCCATCACCGACGGCTCTATCTTCGTTCCTCTGTCTCACGACAACATCTTCTTCTACTCTTTATCTTCTGTTTTTCTCTAAAAATTATGCATCTCTCACTTCGCATCTATATCGTATATCGACAATTATAATGAAATTAGATCGAGAAAGACCATGAGTAAGAGGGATGAATCATCAGATTTTTTTTTTCAGCAGCCACACAAACTACTTTTGATCTCATACATTCGGGATCAATTTAAGCCATTAGATTTTAATGAGATCGGACGGGTGAGATCATATCAAAACATCTATTAACACTCCACATCTTTTATCTGAGCCATCCGATTTTAATGAAAATACGGTTCAGATTAAAACAAAAACAACTAGAATCATGGATCTGGTTTCATGATCTCAAGGGCAAATTCGTCCGAAAAGTTTCAAATCTTGTGCAAAAGTCACATTCCCTTGCAAAGTATATTTTTTTTGTAAGATGTGTTTGGGAAAGTGTCTATAGATGTAAATTTCCCTTCCATTACATTTGATCTGGTGGGCTTATTTTGAGAGTTGTTTATGAAAATTGTTGATATTGTTATTGCAGGTTGTGATTGTTTTATGAGAATTGTATGAGAACTGTTATTGCAAGTTATGATTTTTTTATGAGAATTGTTGATATTTTTATTTCAGATTGAAGACTTGATCATTTTTTCTAGGAAATTTGAGCTGCATCTTGCGTTCCTACGGTTGAGATCAATCTGTAAAAGCTTGAACATGAAGTGATGTTCATCAGCATGTAGCATGGAGAACGGGATCGACTGGACGAGATCGAGTGGCAATGGCAAAGAATCAAAATATTTGAACATTGTTTTCTCTTTCACACATTTATGAAATATTTCTACAAAATTAATGTCATCTTCGTGGTCTTAGTGTAGGAATTTACTCAAGACAATGAGCATGTTAAATTCCTTAGATATTAAACCTATACATCAGTCTCTATGTTGTTTGTGTTTTGATTGCATAACGTATATATGGAATATTTAAAAATTTATTATATATTTTTTGCCTCTAAACTTTTTTCGTTCCTAATTTTGGCCTACCAGAGTCTTGTTGGAGTAATGTTCAAGTTCTACATGAAAAGCTAATTTATAATTCATCTTTAGCAAACTTTTAACTTTGATTATTTACCATGACACATCTTGTGATGCATATGGAAAGCAGGATACGTAAGCAATTAAATTTGAAGAAGAAATGAAAAGAATCTGAAAGAAACTTGAAAATGTGCCATACACAAACATAAACTGTAAGGATGTGTAAGATGATGAAGAAAAGCGACATATGAGAAATAATGGAACGAAAGTATGGTAAGATGGAGAAGAGGATGAAGAGAAATAAATTGAAAGTAATGGATATTGTCGATGGTGAATAGAGGGAGAAGAAACAAAGACCAAAGGTTAAAATTAAAACTTATAACTAGCTGTAAACCAGATGAACTCATGTCTATTTTGCCAAATTTGTGTGTCCAATCGTGTTCAAAGTTCAAGTAAAAAAGTAAGTTAGATCGCATGTATTTTTTGCATATTTACATG